CCATGCTCTTGAGCTTGGGCCTATTTTCGAATTGCTCATATCTAAATTCAAGCCAAATCTATTATGCAATGTTCTACCTCCTGGTAATAGCGTTGCCGCAATCCCAGTAAAGGCCATGTTACTAATTTTCTTATTCATTCCTCTAATCAAGTGAACAATTGTACAAAGTACAAATGTCTTTCCTGATCCACCTGGTCCGCTGAGAAAATAGAAGGCCATTTTCCCATCCGGATTGGAGATCCTAGTCAAAATCTCATCTACTATTTCTCTTTGCTCGTCGTTTAGTAGCTCGTAGCTACGACGACCTAGATCTAATTCTTCAGCAACATTAAATTGCTCTTCAATACTATTTACTTGGTCAAAATCTAAATCATCTAGTTGGTTAATACCATCTAGATTTTTCATAGTAGGAAAATCAGCAATTGATTTACCTGCTTCTAATATTCTTTTTACTATATCTATATACGCTTTTCTATATGCAAGTTCAATTCTAAGATTTTTTGCAAAATCCTCTGACAATGCATCCTTGAACAAAGCCCAAAGTTCTTCGGGTTTTGCAGGATTGCAATGCACTAAAATCAAGGCAAATAACTCTCTCAATTTCCAAGGCATTTCGAAGTTGTTAGCTTCTTCTAATGCCTTCTTCCACTCATCATCATCTCTAATCAAACCTCTGGCTAAACATGCTTCCGCGAAGGTTGCATATTTTCTAATATTCAATATCAAATTATCTAATCTCTTTACAGTTCTCAAATCTTCATAGCTTGTAGCTCCTTTCACATTCAACAACAACAGCCGTAAGTGATAGCGTTCGGTTTCGGCTGGCGAAACCTTGACCATCCGACCAATTGTGTTGAAATGTGTCTTTCTCTCATTCCAAATTCCTTTTCTAAACACAAACTTCTCGGGAATCTCGTGATAAAAGAGATTCCGAGCTAAGGCGTTATTCTTATTCAATTCAAAATATCCAATTAATTCAGAGTCATTTTCTATCTTTTCTCTAATCTCTTGCTCAGTCATATTCTCGTCGAAATAACACACGTGTTCACCGTCCAAATGGACAGGCAAAGTTGTGATGCTATGACTACGATCATATGTCTCAAATTCTAAAATTCTCCACACGGCCTCCTGCGGACAGACGTACCGTGCGTCTATAAATTCTTTAATCTCGTCACAATCATTTTTCTCTTCATAATTCATTGTAGCTCTATCTGGTAACTTGTGAACATATTTATGTAAATATTTCACAGAGGTCACACTATTCACTTTCTCCACATTAATGTGGCAGTTAAACATCTTTAACAAATAAGGGTTGTGTGGAACAACCCATCTATTATCAAGTTCATGTCTCATTCCTGCTGCAGATATTTCAACAGTTCTTCCATCTCTAGGTCTCGCATATAATGCTAAACCATTATCCAATACTATAGTCTCTTGTTGAAAGGGTTTGGGATAACCCTTTGAACAACTTTTTATCTTTTTTCCATTCACTATTTTCTCTTCCATGCATGGGCAATTTGGATTCAAATCACCACATGGTCCATGGATCATAAACTTTTTAACTAATTCAAATAATTCATTATCTTTGTCTTTGTCAGGTAGTCTAGCACTAATTCCTATATTCTCAACATCTTGAGAACTTGTTACTTTATCAATCAAAGTCAAAAGCAAATGGATGTGCGGTAGTCCCCGTCCTTGGTTCTCTACCGGATACATCCAACAAATATCTCTGCCAAAAATTTTGGCCTTAGTTATCTCTTTCATCAATGCTTTAACTTTTAGATAGAAAACTCTATCTACTATATCAGGTCTATCTGAAGGCACTTGTCCTTCATACAAATTCTCTTTAATCTCCTCCCATTGCGAATTGCAAGTCATAGTGACGAAAAGATCCGGTTTCCCGAACTTTCGCACTAATGACATTGCATCCTGGAAGTGCTTTTCTATATATCTCGGCGAGTTGGTCACCGTCGGAGGCAAAATAACTTTACGCCCCAACGGCTTCCCAGTTTCTCTCGCCCTTTTTTCTAAGTAACTGTCAACGTTCTTATAGGCATCAGCCAAGATCGTTTTCTGGTTACCTCTAATCCATCTCATTCTATCACTTTCAATCTTGACATATTCATCAACACAATACTGTTGAAAGAGTTTTCCCCCATAAAGAATGGGGTTAAACTCATTCCTAACTCCAATACTATAACTAACATACTGAAGTCTAGTCACTCTTCTAATACTATTTTCTTGTCTAATATCTGGATGCCACCCTAACGTACCACGCGGAAAAAACAGCGGGTATGTCATGGGTGATACTAACTGGTTAGTATTATCCAGAATTCTAAGTTCTTTTCCTTTTTCTCGTACTACAATCTTAGCATTAGGCATTTCGCCATCTGCTCCAGGCACATAAACTGCTGCTACTTCATTTGCTCTTGGTACATTGTACCCTAATCTCCTGTCTAAGTTAGTTTTTGTATCAAACAAAAGACTAACCTCGACAGGAGGTCTATTTTCAAGTCTAGCTCTTTCCTTTTCTATGTCTTCTTCTTCTTTCATCATTACGTATGCTTGCGCAAACGGGTTGATGTCTTTTATCAATTCATAAACATTTTTTAACAAACTCTGGTTTATGACAGGGTTTGCTCTATTCATTGCACTAAGCGCTTCTTCTGTATCAACAATAAAGACTTGCCCATAAGCAGGCTCGTCTCCATCGTCTGGATTCAATGCTAAGTTCAATTTATGATAAATCTGACCACATATGCGAAAGCAATATGGGCCTCTATTACTTGGATATCTATATCTAAGCGGATTCATGGAAGCCATGGAAACGCTACTATTCAAACTTCTAATACAATCAAAAAAGTTCTTGTATCTTGTATCAATTCTCAAAAACAAATTTTTCAGTAAAACTGGAAAATTGCTTTCTGGTATCAAATTCAAATTCACTTTACCATGATGGCAACAGTTATTAAAGGAATTTCCTTTATTTCCAATCTTCTCTTCCGGAAAATGCAGTGCACCACAGTGGGCACACTCAACATTCATCCTTCCGAGTCTATTCACAATCACATTTCGATGATCACCGGCTGCGAACAACCGGATCTCATCTCTAATTCTATTTCTATATCTAAGGTTTCTTTGGTCTAATCTCATAACTCTTTCTTCATCCAATTCATTTTCTCTTCTAGTCCTCTTTCTAAGCATATCTTGTTCCAATCTTTGATCAGTTTCCTCTTCATCTTCATTTCCTCTTCTAATTCTTTGCCTAATCCTTTGTTGTTCCAATCGGTGATCAGTTTCTTCTTCAACTTCATTTTCTCTTCTAATTCTTTGCCTAATCGTTTGTTGTTCCAATCGTTCCATTCTTCCTTGTTGCGATTCATTTTCGCGATTTCTTCTTTTGCGTTCTCTATCTTTTTCAAGTCTTTGATTTCTTTTTTCCAAAATTTCTACTTGTATATCATCAGAATTATTTTGAGCAGTGTTTTGACTGGTTGAAGGAATATCATCAATATCATCCAGTACAATTCTTATATTGCCTCTCATTTTAATAGAACTAAAATTTTAGAAATATTAATTATTAACTATTAATTATTAACTATTACTCATTAACTTATCAAGAACTGTCATATCACACTTAGACTAAACTACTAATTATTAACTATTAATTATTAACTATTACTTATTAACTGTTCAAGAACTTATATCACTCTTATTTGTTAGACCTAACTATTATCAATTATTAACTATTAACTATCAATTTCAACAATTAACTATTATTATCAATTCCAACTATTAACTATTAATATCAGTTTCAACTATTAACCATTAATATCAATTTCACCTATTAACTATTAACTAACAGTTTTAGTATATATTAAAGTTCTTTTACTATTAACTACCAGTTGTAGTATATATAGTAAAAAGTTCTTACTATTAACTTGCAGGTGTAGTTATATAGTAGAAAGTTCTTTTACTATTAACTATTACCTATCAGTTGTAATATATATAGTAAAAAGTTCTTTTACTATTAACTAACAGTTGTAGTATATATAGTAAAAAGTTCTTTTACTATTTACTATTAACTTACATTTGTAGTTATATAGTAGAAAGTTCATCAACTACTTTGTATCTCACTGTATCAAGCTATCTAAGACTATCTGCTTATACTACAACTCTTAGTCACTCTAGTACTCTCAACTATTTAGTATCACACAATGTCAAACTCTAGGACTATTAACTATTTAGCATCACACTATGTCAACCTTGCTAGTACTATCAATTATAAGCTATTTAGTATCACACAAGTCACACTCTAGTACTCTCAACTATTTAGTGTCACACAATGTCAAACTCTAGGACTATCAACTACTTTGTATCTCACTGTATCAAACTATCTAGGACTATCAACTACTTTATCTCACTTATCAAAATATCTGGGACTATCAACTATTTAGTATCGCATTGTCAAACACAAAAACCAAACTATAATTATGTTAAGAAACATACCTCACAAAAATTAACCACCGGTTGGACGCTCTCCTTGTTTAAATTAAATACTAAATTAACCACCGGTTGGACACTCGTTGTTTGAATAAATAATCGTTTTGGTTTTGAACTTAAAAACAATTTCTAAATAAAACCAATTTTAAGAAACAAAACAAAAAAAAACAATCAAAACACATCATAAATACAATTAACAAACAAAAAATTAAAAAAAAATGCGAAACAAATTCTAAAAAATTCACATTCTTTCTTTACTTCTCTAAATACACACTATTTTTCATTTTGGGATATTCTGTCATTTTTAATTTAAAAATAAACATAACGCCAAACACAGCAAAATTCAAAGCTGCGGACAAACAAACAGACAACAATTCTAAAATTATATATAGGATATAAATAATGAGAATGATCATAAAGCTAAATTGCTTTCTCCTTTTCCGCGACTAATCGGCCAGCGATTAATCGTGGTAAAGGACATTGGAGTCGGTAGGGGATCATTGAGTCCCGGGCCGTTTCAGTATGCGCATGGTTGAATTTCCTTTTTATCTTCTTTTAGTATTTCTTAATTTAATAGATACAATTATGAATCCAGAAAATGAATTACAAAATGGTGAAGATGAACATTCAAGACGACCAAAATATACAATATTACTTCCAACGTAAATTTAATTTTTAAAAAGTTTTTTGAGAGGAGAATGAATTAAAAAATAATTTTTTATTTTAATTTTAAATAAATTTAAGTTACAATGAAGCAGAAAATTTGCCAATATGTATATGGTTAATTAACAAATATTTAAATGAATTAAATTATGAAGTACTTATAATTGATGATAACAGCCCTGATGGAACACAAGTATATTTTTATTTATTCTTTAAATATTTTTGGGACTTATAGAGTTATTATTTTTTATATTTTTTTATTTTTCGATTAATTTATTTTGAATTAATAGCCATAATTTTGACCAAGGGCGTAGCCAGGGGTGCTTCTGGGACTTAAGCCCCCCCCCCCGAAATGGGGGAAAATTAGGAGACAGAAAATCAAAAAAAAAGGATTTAATTCGCTTACAATTTCCAAAATTCAAAAAATTTTCGCTGCGGCTCTGAAGATGGACGACATCTGGCTGCTTGAGTTCCAAATTTCTTTTGAAATTTTTTTCGTCTACACCCCATTTTAGCCCCTCTGAAATCGACCCCTGGCTACGCCCTTGACTTTGACTAACATAAGATCTCTAAATGTTATTTTACTTTTATGTTAGCTTTATTTTAATTATGGTAGCTTTTAGTTCTAAATTTTTAACAAAAAATTTTTGCTCCTTTTAGTCCTTAATTTTTAGAATTTATTTTTTAATTTTTAAAGGATATAGCTAAAAAACTTTGTAATGAATTTGGAAATGATAAAATTATTTTATTAACTCGAGAAGGCAAGCTTGGACTTGGAAGTGCTTATGTTTTTGGATTGAAACAAGCTCGGTATTTTTCTATTTTTTAAATAAAAATCAAAAATTTAGTGGGGATTTTGTTATTTTAATGGATGCCGATTTGTCTCACCATCCTAAACATATTCCTGAAATGATTGCTTTACAAAATAAAAATAATGTTTGTTTTTTAAAAATATTTTTTTTTCTTGGGATTTAAAAAATTTCGGTATTTTTTGGTATAACGCCCTTCCTAGTTTGGGTATCATTTATTCTTTCCTTCCTCTTTGATTATATTTGGCCAAGCAAACATTTATTTTTGCCTCATTTCACTTATATTGCTTGAAAAAAATGATTGACATGAAGAAGGATGAATATGTAACTGATACTCAAACTAGGTGGGGGTTGGTATTTCCAAAAAGTACCTATTTTTCCAAAATTGGCTGGATGCTGGATTTTTGACCTTAGATAAGGAAATACAAAAAATTTTGATCTGTACCTTTAGATACAAAAATCCAGATCTAACAATAAGTACGTATTTTATTTCCTACTCTATAGTAAATTAATGTAAATGTATGAAACTTCAAAATTATTTCTAATAAAAAAACTCCTAAAATTAAAACCTAGATTTCATCTAATTTAATTTTAAATGTAAGTATGACATTGTTACTGGAACACGATATTCACTTGGTGGGGGAGTTTCTGGTTGGGATTTTAAACGCAAACTTATTAGTCGTGGCGCTAATTTTCTTGCACAAGTTTGTTAAAATATTTTTTATTTTTAAATTTATAATTTTTTTAGTTTCTTCTCGAGCCTGGAGTTTCCGATTTAACTGGCTCTTTTAGACTTTATCGAAAAAATGTTTTGAAAGATTTGGTTAATCTATCAATTTCTAAAGGATATGTCTTTCAAGTTTGTTTTTAAATTAAATGTTTTTCGGGTTTAAAAATCGAACTAGGAGTAGACATTATTAAAGAAAATTGGAACTTCTATTTAGGGGGTTATTAGTAACTTACTTACTTATTGACCCTAAAATTTTAGAAATAAGCGAAAAGGTTTAAAAGAGAGATCGGCCTGGGTCTGGGGTTATTGTGTTATATTTATTATTATTTTCCTGTACCCAGAGTCCAGGCCCAGGCATTTTTTACCTTCCTGGGTTTTTCCTGGACTACATGCAAAGGATCTGGCCCAGGTCAATAAATCAAACCCAGGAACAGGCCCAGGCTTTTCAAAAATTCCGATCTATAGTTTAAAATAAGGTGAAAAGAGGTTTAATATAATTTAAAACTTTTAAATTATATTACAAGAAATATTTTTAAATTTATTCTGAATATTCCCGATAAACGGGTCGGCGTTGGGCCCCAGTCGTGGGACGCCACAACTGGGGCGCGCCTACTCAAACACTTTTTATAAAAATTTATTTAAAATAAAAATGTGTGAAATAAAACGGGTGGAAAAGGGGGGATGATGGAGAACCGGCCAAAGGTTCTCAAGACCAAAAACTTAAGACTGAGCTGATTTGGCCAGTTCTTCATCCCCTTAAGTAATGCTAATAAAAGGGGTGTGACATTTATTATTTAAATTTATTATTTAAAATTATTTTTTACAGATGGAAATGATGTTTAGAGCAAAGAAAATGGGATTTTCTGTTGGTGAAGTGCCAATTGAATTTGTTGATCGTTTTTATGGAGAATCGAAACTTGGAGGTCAGGAAATTGTTGAATATCTTTTTGGACTTTTTCGATTATTTACTTTTGTTAATTAGAAAAAAATATATTTAAATTAATTATATAGGCAAAAAACTTTAATAACAAAAATTTTCAATTTTCATTAAAAAATTTTTGTGGAAAGAATTTATGTTTATCTCTTTTCTTTATGATTTTAAAAAAGTCCACAAATCTTTATAACTTAAAATTTTTCCTGCTTTATTTTAAAAATTAAATTTTTGTTTTGCCTATATTTTCTGCTTTAAAATAATTTACTGTGATTAATAAATATAAATTTTTTTTAATTTTTTTACTTTCTGATTTAGTTACTCGATTTAAGGTAAATACTAGGGTAGGACAAAACCGTTTGTCTTGGTAAAATTAAACGGAACGGATACGGGTCTCAGATAAACGGTATACGGTTTTTTCATAATTAAACGGTTTTGTCCCACCCTAGTAAATACTATTAAAAATAAAGTATTTTTAGACCCCAGATTTTATTAAAAAATTTAAAAAAATACATTAAATAACTTATTTCAATTTACAATTTCATCATTTCAATTTACAAATTTCATTTTTTGTCCAACAATCGAGATTCGGATCTGTCCAGCTTCCACCCATTTTGTCATTAATCTTGAAATCAAGTCCTTCCCTAACATATTGTTTAGTATTTCCCCCATCCAGATTAATCCACAATCCACGGATTTCCGCAATACGATTCTTTTATAGGAAAAATATTTTTTATAATATTTCTGGATTAATGTTGGAATAATTAATGTCTCAACTAGGGTTGTTGGTTTCACCAAATTCTTCGGTTAACCGAAACCGAAAATTTTCGGTTCGGTTTGAAACCAACAACCTTGGTCTCAACCAAATTCACGTCTCTCAGTGTTTACTGTATCCCTTTTTTTTGAAATTTTATTTTGTTAAATACATATTGTGTCTTTATTGAAGAAATATTCAAAATATTAACCCATGTAGTATTTAAAAATTAAATACAAACTTTGAACGATTTCAGATCAATAGATGGCAAATCGACGACCTTTTTTGCTTTGCTTCCACCACACCTAATTAAAAATTTATTTTAAATTTAGAAGTTGTGCTTTCCTTAGACATTTCCTAAAGGGCCCCTTCATTATATCTAATTATTCCCGACTGAAAGCTTGACTCAATTAAATTCAAATACTTTATTTAACGTCCCATATTATCCATTCCAGCAGTAAATACTTACTCATAATCAATGTGAAGTTTAACATTAACATAACTATCCTTAGCAATATTTTCATAAAAAATGTTGTTACATACACGATGAGTTAAAATGGCGGGGATTGTAAATGATGCAGAATTTCCATCAACCTTATTACTAGCAGGGATATTAATTGAAAGATCGGAAACGCTAAAGGCTTCAAATTCCTTCATTTCATCACATTTAGAAAAGAAGCCGCCAGCTTCCTCTAAATGTGTGATACGTAATCCCGTAATTTTGCCGCCACCAGAACATGTCGCACAGCCATCCAAAAGCACCAACATTTCTTTTTTTTTAATTTAAATTTATAGTTTTTCCCTTTAAAATAAATTTTAGTACTTTTATGTCGATTGTCTTTTGGAACATTCTCCGGTTTCTGATCATCAAAAAAATTGGTCTAAAATATTTAAAATAAAATTTAATTATTCTTCCCATACCAGAGCACAAAGCTTCATTTGGTCAAAATACCCATTCCCACACATTGCCATCTTTAAATATTTTCTTTATAAAGATCAAAATTTCTATTCAAAACCGCAGCTATCTTCCAAAAATTCTCAGCACAGTCCATGTCCGGTATTGGCAAATTAAATTTCTCAGGTAATTTACCTCTAATTACACAACCACAATAAACCCCATTTTTATAAGTTTTACAAACATATCCAGACTTTCCTTTATAATTTGCCTCTATATCCTTTCGAAATTGAAAATGGCGCGGTTCATCCTTTTCATCAAATCCATATTGAATTCCTTTAATTTCATCTTTCAAGCTCGGTTTGGGTTCTAATTTTTTGGGATCAGTTGGTGGTGTTATTGGCGGTGAAAGTGAATTTATCTTTATTTTAATAACTTTTATTACAAATTTGCTTTATTTATTTAATTTTGTATTAAATTAAGGAAAATTCGAAAATTTAAAATAAAATTGTCATTAAATATTTTTTAATATTATTTCTTGTTTTTAAAAAATATTTACAAGCAAAACATCCATTAACATTAAGATAATTACAAAAGAAAAATTAAAATCCATTTTTTAAATTTTAAAACTAAAATTTAATTAAAATTAATTAAATATTTAATAAGTAAATGTATTTTTTATTTATTAAAATTTTAATGATTTAATGGAAATATATGGATGGTGGATTTTTTAAATGATGAATAATTTAATTAAATATAAATTTATTTAAGAGAAAATAAAACTGCTGGTATGTAGTATGCAGGAAATATTTAATAAATGGTGATTTGAATTTATTTTAGAATTTAATATTAGAAAAATAAATTGAAAATGATGACTAAAATAAATTAAAATATTTTATATGTAATTAATTTAAATATTTAATCCTACAAAATACTCAGGGATACGTGAATTTTGTGGTTTTTAGCTTATATAATTTGACTTATCTTTTATCCTAATATATTTTGTAATCAAATAGATACCTATGTGTTTAATTTATCGGAGTGCTAGCTAGGACTTAGTGGATGAAGTTCATGCCGAATAATGCCGAATTAGGGAGATACTTACCTAATTAGATTGAAACAAAATTAGCAGTATTATTGGATGATGCGGAAATATACTTTTTATAAAACATCTAAATTTATTAAAATAATTTTTATAAAATCTGAGTAAAATTATACTAGTTGTAGAAAAATTTTAATTTAAATAGAAAGAAATTAAATTGGGGTTACATAACGAGAAAAATGAAGCAACTACAATCACTGCGAAATTTACAGAAACGTTTCAAGTTCACATGTTCTTCCTTCTCAATCTTCATTTTTAAATTAAATTTCTTACTATGTACATAGTAGGTAGTCTACTATACTCAACGACAACTTAATTTAAAATAAAATATTTCTAAATTTATTTAAGTATTTCATACTCTCCTCCTCCTCCAAGTTCCATAGGCGCAACTGTATTAAGCGCCCGCTGCTGTTCTTTACTTGCCGGCATTCCTGCATTATTTTTTGTGATTGCAGGTGTAACATTGTTTCGACCGAAAAATTTGTTCTTAACAGCTTCGCGATATGGTTTTACCAGGAAGATTGTGGAAAGTGGATTAATTACCTATAAATTGTCATTTCGGTTAGATTTATTAATTTCATTTAGTTCTAAACAAACCGGAGCGAAATATAGCGGTATAACTGTATAAACAATAATAAATACAGTGGTGTCATTTGGGTAGAAAATTGGAAGTAGAATTTGTGTGCTCATAGCGATCACTTCGAATGTAGGGAGAATTGCCTTGGGAGGGCAAGATTAAACTAGAGTTATTTTGTAGTCTTACCTGAACAATAAGAGCAGAAGTTATCTGGTTATTGTAATCACGTAAACGTTCCATTCTCAACTTTTCCAGTGCATTGTCCTTTTGACTTATATCGACATTAAGGTTAAATGTCTCATGCACATAAGTACGGATTTTGAATACACAGATCTTTCAGAGGGAAAGTGTGGCATAAAAATTAGTTATGTAGGTATATTAGTACCGTGATTACTGAATAGCAACAAAAGAAAAGGATGACCATGACAATACAGTGCATCAACCACGGAAATGAACGCTAGGTTTATTAAGATATGTTATTCAAAAATTTCCTTAAACATACAGCCCAGGTAAACGAGGAGAATTTAAGGTCTGTTATGCCAGCTTCTTGAGTGACGAGGTTTGTCAACTCCTCCATTTTTTCATAATAGTTAGGGCGTGGATAATCAGCCCAAGCGAGCAGGATAATGTGAAATAAGTTTAGAAGGAAAGCCAGAAATCCCAAAATCCAGACCAAACTTCGAGGAATATGTCCATTTCTGAATAAATTTTAATAACTAGATAGCTAGAAAAATAACTTGGTTAGAATAAAGTAGCGAAAAATGAACTGCGCTGTTGTAGAAGTTAAGAAGAACAGAAGAAGTTGAATCCAGAGAACATTCAACTTTAATTTAAGCAAAACAAATAAATTTTTGTGAATGCCCTCTTATTTACCATATATGCATAGGGCTGTGGCAACTCCATTTTGGAATAGAGCACGATATCCATGATCAACTATCTATTGTAGATGAATCAACTCCGAAATTTTTTAAAAATTTTTACCGGAATCGGTTGAACGAGTGTAGAAACAATAACTATTAGAATATCCTGAGGATTGTAAAGTAAAAAAATATTTCTAAAGAAACTAGCCATAAGACATGAGTGGAGAAGCAGACGCGAGTACATCCGCATAGCCCTTACTGTTTTAGTCAAAATTAGCCAAGCAAGAAGCAAGTTTAAAGGTATGCCGAGACTAAAACTAATTCCTGCATTTATAGAGTATATTGTGCGCACAGTGTCTGTATATTGTTAGTAAATTAACAGTTAAATTTAATTTAAGAAGATGATATTTAAAGATGACATACCAAAGCTGGCACTATTATTTAATTCTGTATCGTTAAAACTAGGCATATTATGTTAATAGTTTTGTAATAAAGAAATAATGCCTGAAAATTCTGAGACATGAGAGAATTACATATTTCAAAAAATTTTTGTCAAAGTACACATGTAAAGCTAAATTAACAAATAATTGTAGGAATGGGAAAAACGTAATTAATTAAATTGTTTATAAAGTCACGGAATTGTTTATATAAATGAATATTTTAATAAAATAAAATGTTTCAAAAGTATAAACAATGGCATGACATAAGAAGAGAAAGACGGAAAATTTGAAACAGAACTAGGAGTTTTTAATTTGGGAAAGTTTTGGGGAAAATTAACTTGATGACCCTTATGCAGGGTTGTTCTATCATATTAAATTTTTCAATTGTTGAAAGCATTTAAAATAGTTATGTGAAAATTAATAATACATATTTGAAATAATAAAAGTCTAAAAAATTATTCCAATTGCAATTCAGGATCTGCGTATAGTTACAAGCAGAATTTTTCATAGCTTAAAACAATTATTCTAACGACTAAACTAATAATAAATTCTCAAAAAAATTTATTAAATTTTATATAATATAATAATTATTGAAAATTTACCAATATTTAAATAAAATTAAAGGTATTAAATTGATAAAGGATTAAATTCTAATCAAGCTATAAATAAAACTAGAGTAGGTCGAGATCGAGGCTTCTACGAGGCCGAGGACCTTGCCGATTTTTGATTCAGCAAAATCCTAGTCTTATTAATATCATTAAAAAATTATAAAACAAAAATGTAAAATAAGATGCTTAAAAATCTATTTATTTTTTTATAAAAAATATACATACATACATTATAAACAAAATATCTAATTTAAAATGTTCCTATTACATAATTGTACAACAACCAAACTTCCGTTTAATTTCAACATTAGACCTCATATTCTTATTATAAATATTAGTTATTTGATATTTAACTTCATGGCTATTTTCTTCCCTTACAATATTTTCAGCCCTAACCCCTACATTAACTTGAGAACAATCACGGAACTTGAATAAGAAGTTGGTTACCATATTTGAATTGTTTTCGGATGTTTCGATAAGCTAAATTGTAAAATTATTTTAAAGAGCTATTTTGTGAATTGGCTATTTTTTGGGTTAAAAATTCAAAATGCAAATGATAGTTTTTTAAAAGAACTCTTCGAGTTGAGTGACTCCGAACGAAAAATAATTTTTGAAAAGACAAAACTTTTTGAATAAATCCTAGAGACGTGCGAGACTGAAAATTTTCAAAGATTCAAGACCAAGACTAGACCCCGCAAAATTTCAGAGAGGTTTGGATGGGCCGCACAAGACCGAAAAAAACCCAAAAAAAAAGTCTTGGAATCAAGACCAAGAGTTTCACACGTCTCTAATAAATCCCCATTTACCTTTATAACTAAATTATACAAAGATGGGTCACTCAGATCCATACGAATTCTATGAATTACACTTCCTCCATTTAATACCAGCTCCGAAACAATATCATTATATTTCTGCGTATCACCAGCAAAAGACAATGAAAGGTCTCCTTTAACAATTAAATGCTCCAAATTAAATTTTAAAATTTTTTCTTTGTTTATTTTGCCATATTCTAAGGAAACTTTTTTGGTGTAAAATTTGGGAGAAATATTTTGTTGATCCTCAAAGAGTAAACGAATAATTTCTGGATTGAAAATAAAGATAAAAAATGAAGCTTCCTTATAAGCACAACGAAAGAGTTGATCAAAACAAAAACGAATAAGTTTCATATCGTAAATTGTTTTGGGATATGTAGGCAATTCCACTATTAGAGCATGCTTGTTATCGTCTAAAAAATAACTACCTTATTTTCTCGATTAATTCCCCACTCTCGATTAATTCCCCATGCCAGAGAACTACAACACCTATGGTTTATACGGTTTAGAGATCGGCAAAATCGTGTTTGCGGGACCCGCATGCGGGATTTTTTTTAAAAATCTTTGCGGGACGGGATCCCGCGGGATAAATCCCGCATCCCGCAATTTAAATTTGCGGGATCCCGCGCGGGATTTTCCAAAAAACGTTGAAATTATCAATATCTATTGAAAAGGGGAATTAATCGAGAAAATACGGTAGGTAGTTTAAAATTTAAAATTAAAAAGTGACCGACCATCTCCTATCACAATAAATGTTCGCTCGCCAAGTGGTAATTTTTTGTCCATATTTAAACTAACAGAAATTTTATTGTTTATAGCAGATTTCCACTGAAAATAAAATTGTTTAGAGACGATTAAAAATATTCATTTGGGTACAGCTGGGCTCATTTGGGTCATTTGGGTACAAGATATTCATTTTGGTACATAAAGCGCAAAGCCTTAACTTGTTTAAAGATTTCCGAATCTTACCAAATTTATTATTAAAAGATTCCTCTAATTAAGCTAAAAAGATTGGCACCAAAATTGATAAGGGCCAGAAATTTTCAAGCAAGTTACCGCACGTCTACTTGGGCGTGTCTCCCTATTTATTTACCTTCTCCTCAAGTTGACTAGTTAACGAATAATCACAATTTACAGATTTGAGGTTAATTATTCTATAATCCGGATCTGGCGGGTCGTACAATTTGTTATCAGAAGATAACTGAAAGATAAAG